GATTCATGGGTTACGAGTCTTTCGCCATATGTACATTATTGAGTCGACGTGCCAGTTGCCATTATCGCAATATACCCCTTTTTCCATCTATTATTGGCCGGTTCCTTCGTTCTCTTATCTGGCTATCACGCAATATATAGATCCACAGCACGCCCGCTCTGACGTCACGTGTGAGCTCTCCTGTGGGGTTCGCCGATAGTCGGCCATTTGACTCCCCCGCTGGGCGCCGGGACGGTCTTCATTTCTGTCTTCACAATATGCTGTAATTAAGAAACATCACAATGGCTCATTTCAATCAAGCAATTGGCGCTTCTACGCGCTCGCTGCACGCAGATGATGAACTCAATGTAGTTACCGACGTTGCTCCACCGTTGCATGTCTCTACGACCTTCCGATACTCTGACAATCCGGACGAACTGGTACCCCTCACAGACCTCAGCGGCGTATGTCACACCAGTTTGGTTTGATGAAGCCTTTCCGTGCAAATTTGGACTTGTTTTGACATTATCAATTCGTACTTTAGTATGATCAAGAGAAAACCAGTCACGTCTATTCACGTCTCTCTGCACCCAATCCAACCCGTTTCGAAGTCATTTTATCATCGCTCCTCAACGGCGAAGCAATCAGCTATTCCTCGGGACTTTCCGCCCTGAACGCCGCGCTTGTCTTGCTGAACCCTCAGCGAATTGCTATCGGTAATGGCTACCATGGGTGCCACGGTGTGATCGAAATCTTCGGCCGCCTGACTGGGCTCCAGAAGCTAGATCTCAACTGCCCCGCCGAGCAGTTGGAGGCCGGAGACGTTATTCTCTTGGAGACACCTGTAAACCCTCAAGGAACTGCTTTCAATATTGCAGAATATGCCGACAAGGCTCATTCTAGAGGCGCGTACCTGATTGTCGACAGCACATTCGCACCGCCAGGCCTACAAGACCCCTTCATTTGGGGTGCTGATCTTATCATGCATTCCGGGTCCAAATACTTTGGTGGGCACAGCGATGTTCTCTGCGGTGTCCTTGCAACGCAGCGCAAGGATTGGGCGAAGAAACTCTTCCAGGATCGGTTATTTTTGGGCAGCGTGATGGGCAACATGGAGAGTTGGCTCGGTGTCCGCAGTCTGCGCACCCTCGAGATTCGCGTCCAGCGCCAGAGCTCGAACGCGGCGAACTTGGTCTCCTGGTTGGACAAGGCATTGCGCGCGCAGAATCCCGCACCCGGTAGCGATGAAGCCGTCACGCAGGCTGCTCTCGAGCAAGTTTTCCACGCGAGTCTCCAGAAAGAGGACGAGGAGTGGCTACTGAAGCAGATGCCCAATGGCTTCGGGCCTGTTTTCTCCATCACCATGAAGGAGGAGGATTATGCGCGGAAGCTGCCCAGCAAGCTTTCGTTCTTCCAGCACGCTACCAGTCTTGGAGGGGTGGAGACGTTGATCGAGTGGCGGACTATGAGCGATGCGAAGGTAGATCGTCGGCTGCTTCGGATCAGTGTAGGGTTGGAGAATTGGGAGGATCTCAAGAGCGATCTTGTGAGTGCTTTCAGGGCGCTCACTGAGAGCAAGTAAATACCGGCGTCGCTAATCTATATATATAAATGACCCAACGATGAGACTTGTAATCACATCACGTATCTTATGGGAAGCAACTGAAATAATAACCCGCCCATCTTCTCTATTCTTGTAATTCTTGTCTAAACCTTTGCCTGCCCCGCTGTACTCTCATAGATCTAGGTGCGGTACTCGATGATGCTGAGGTGGGGAGTCGCGACTCGCGATAAGGGTTACCCCGCACCACTGGTATCTCCAATCTTCTCTTCATCACTCGGCAGCATCCTCACCATCGCAAAATAGAGTGAAAGAGCATCAACCTGGTTCATTCTTCACAGTTGTACCAACAATCCCAGCAAGCATTTACCTGCCCTCTCCGTCTTAAACGAATCCCTCAGAAAAGAAGCACAACCTTCCAGGATGCCCACCCAAGGAACACAACCAGCCTTCCAAATCCACTACTTCTCCAGCGCGTCATCCTACACAAATAAAGCCACCGAGACGCTTCCTGCCCCTCTTTCATTATCCAGGCTCTTTGATGTCCTCGAGGAACGATACCCCGGTATCAGGGACAAGGTGCTGGTTAGTTGTGGGGTGAGTCTGGGAGAGGAGTATGTGGATGTTGAGGCGGACGGGGAGGTGGTGATTGAGGCTGGGGATGAGGTCGCGATTATCCCGCCTGTTAGTTCGGGGTGAGGTGTTGTCTGTTTTCGATTGCCTGGGATTTAAGTGGGAGGATGTGATGTCTAGATACCCTAGGGTGGTTTTGTGTGGGGTGTGCTTGAATGGAGTAGAGGTAAGTCTTTGGCCTCGGGTTATTGGTGATGATTGCTGATATATGCAACAGACGTATACTTCAGTTATATTAGCGCTAGAAAAAAAGTCATGCAACAGATCCAGTACACAAGTCAGGAACAGAATAAAAAACACAAAAGACCCGACAATCATATTAGCCATTATTTCCAACCCGGTCAACCGCTTTTTGTCCTCGTCAAGAATGCCTTATACCTCATCAGAGAAGGGAAAAGGCCTTCATCCATCCAGCTTCTCACCACTGGTCGCCTTCTTCTGCCGCCAGAGGCAGACGCAGCAGACCGCCGAAAAGAAGAACAAAATACTACAGCGTACATCCATCAGCTTGTTCGTTCGAGGAAGGGCGGGGGAGAAGAAGATAAAACTCACCACAAAGCAATACTCAACCCCCAGATCGACTTCGCCTCCAGACACACACCCCTAGATGCCGCAATCCAGTTCTTGTAATCGACCTTCCCGCCCAGATGGTCCAGATAGTTATCCAGACTCGTGGCAAAGGCATACGCAGACGATCCATCACCTGCCAAATCCCCGATCACATCGCACTCGAGATATGAGAGTGGTTTCCCGATGATGACCGCCACGATGATGACGGCGATAAGCACCAGTGCGTCCATGATGGCGCTCGCGAGGAAGGGGAGGATGTTATCCAGGAAGAGGATGAAGGAGATGACGCAGTAGATGACGGCTATGCAGGTCTGGTCGGGGCTCTGTTAGTTCTGTGAGTGAGGGCAGGTGGGTATGACCGACTACTCACCACGGTGATTGTGCCGATGAAGACGCTCGGCGGCGTTGCGTTCTTGGAGACGATCTCGGCGATGAAGTTGGCTGTTAGGCCTATGATGGCGATGAGGGAGCACGCTTGAACGATCCGGGCGATCTGGAAGGTTGCGCCCAGTGCGCCGTATCTGGCCATGTTGACTGTGTAGGGATGAACAGATGTATAACTCTATGGTGGCGAAGGAGTGTAGTGGATATCAGTTAAGATAGGAGAACACAACCAGTCGCGGAAGGAATGTATAATATAGAAGCCAAAATGAAAATGAAATATGGAAATCCAAAGGAATGTAGATTGTATCTGAAGATATGATGCAATGCAAGACAAAGAGCTGACCTGATTCTGGTATCGCCATCCACCAGGGCAGACAATAACCCTTTTATAACGCCGCCTCCCAACCCGAAACAAAGCATCCTCAGCATCAAAGACCCAACAAACCGATCACCAAGGAATAAATTTAGCATCTCCAAGAATCTAGACCCAACCTCATTGTTCCAGAGGGGCGGTTTCCCATGCGCGAGGCGTCAAAAGCGTCGATCCGTACAAGCGCCCGAAGCACTACTCGTCGACGATGGACGCCATCGTCGTCCAGATCTAGACCACTGAGACCACCGACTGAGATATATGAAATAAGCGGCAAGGCACGAGCCTCCATTATGACTCCAGCCTTTCAGCTCTGGATTTCTGACGTAAAAGTCAACGACAGGAATGGGACGGGATGTACACGCTCTGTTCTCCACCCCGGCGCTTGGAGAGAGCGCATTGTCTTCCGCCGGGGGAATCTCAGCCAACAGCCCGGTGAGCTTAATTCAACCTGATACAGCGACAAGGGAAGAGTTGTTTGAGGCTCTTGGAAAATCTATTGTGGGAGAGAAATGAGAATGTCGCGTTTCATGGCTTGAGTCTGCATTGTCTAGAAGCCAATAATATCGCAGTGATTCGTTGCTTGATTGAGCTCTTTCAGAGTGAGGGTAGGATCTATTTTTATTGTCTGAAAATGTGACATGACATAAACAAAGGCAGACGAGCGTCATAGACAGAAAAGTAAAAGAAGTGAGAGGAGCAATAACGAGACGCGAAGGCGCTGGCCTTTTCTCCTTTCGATTTGGCCCAATCTTCTCAAGTCGGTAAATGGTTCCGAGGGCTGTTTGACTCGAATTGCGGCCTTGAGTGTGCTGCTACCTACCATGAAAGGTGTATTACTTAAGGCCTATGGCGGAAGTTTCAGAGAATATGCGTAGAGCACTGCTGCACCCAGGACCGGCCTTGGTTGACAGAATGACTGAAAGGACAGTACATAGATGGACGCCTGAGAAAGTGGAATGGCCATGTCGACGGCGATCCATGGTGTGAAAGCTTGATGATGCATCACTAAGGAAGAAAGTCTTCGTCTCCTAGATATCATCAAGCTTGGGGCATTACTTCCAGTCCTTGGCAGCGATTTGGGGGCTCAGCGTCACTAGGTTTAGTCCTCTCGTGAGAACGTGCAAAGATCCTATACTGCAGAGGGGAATGATCCTATCTCTTATCTCATGCGGTTTAGATTTGCTGGTGGGCGGTGGAGTAGGTTCGAAGACGTCTAATGGATGGACAAGAGCAGTCCATTGTGGAAAGACCTGGGATGTGACAGTATATCTCTCTGGCTCTGAGGATGAGTACCATGCTCGAGGGGTTCAAGCCCAACGGTCAAGTAAGTGATTTAATGCTTATATTGAATATTACACTGATGTCAGCTTTATGTACTGTTTGTGTCTTCCAAACACGTTATGGGCGATCAGTTGGTGGCAAAAGTCAGCTTGACAAGCCCTAAATAAAAGCTATATATTCGAAAGAATGATCCAAGACCAATCGGGAACTAGCATACCGTTAACGAAGCCTGAATCCTCCACTGGTCCTCTTCTGGAAGAATCCATCTGGATCATACTTGATCCTGGTTTGCAATGCTTGCTCCTTGGTGCGGATACGACCCCAGTAGTCCTGTCGGAAGTACGCATCGTTCATGAAGAGTGGCCGGTAAACATCAGGCAACAGTCCCTTGTCAATGTTGTCGCTGATAATGTTGTCAAAGCCGGTGTAGAGATACTGATTGGCAGCATCAATCTTGGCATCGTCGGCTGCAAAAGCATAGGAGAAGTCCAGCTCAATGATAATATAGTCTTGATCTGTGGGGAATTCGAGAAGATCCTTGCGGGTTGTTAGCGCATTTTTAGGTGCTATGAAGGCTTTCAGCGCTTACTCCTCCTCTAGCTTTTGCTTTGCTGGTGATAGTCCGAGGCATTGGCTGGAATGCAATGGACCCGAGCATGTTGGGCACTTCAAGTACAGTGTTTGTCACATTAAACCAGTGGTCGTAGTATCTTTGCATGACGTCTGCGCCGACGGTCTTGTTCGGCAACGGAGTGGTCTCAGTAGCAATAGTATAACGCTGGCCGCTGCAATCAAAGTCAGTAGGCGACACGAATACTAATAGGATTATCTTACTGTAGAATGAAGATATCGTTGTGTTTAAGCTGTTTCAATATGAGATAAGCTACCCCAGGTGACTGACGGCAGGGTTACTAACCAGGTCATAGTAGCTGTCCCAGGTTTTAGTAGTATCGGTAGGTCCGATTGCTGTAAAGTTGGTAAAAACACCCTCGGGTGGCTCAGGCCCGTCGTAGAAGAGGAACATGATCCAGGTGTGGATCAACAAGCCATGCTCGCAAGTCACAATAATGGCGGCCTTGTCATCGGGATAATGTTCGGTGAAGTCACGAAGGGCGCTCAAAACTTGAGGCGTCTTATCGGCTGTAAAGATATAGTTTCCTCCCCATACCTGTGCTGTTTAGATTCCTCGTATGAACATATTTGGACAGGGTTTACCTTATGGTCTTGAGGATGTGTCTGGAGAGTGTATGCAGTAACAATGCCAAAGTTGTTACCGCCTCCCTTAAGAGCCGCGAAGAGATCTACCCCCAGGTCAGTTTTAGAGATAATCGTGCATTCTGCTCTGTTTACCGGTATTCTCCTTCGCGTTGGCATTGACAACGGTTCCACTGGCAAGAACCACTTCAAAGTTGACCACATTGTTGGCTGCCCAGCCATACTGCGAACTCAGAAAGCTCAACCCGCCTAGCTGAATCAGTGAAATGTCAACCATCGTAAGGGGCTGCAACTTGCCTCCGAGCATATATCCTCCAACGCCCACGCCACCAAGACGTCCACCGACGAGTGCCCGACCAGTACCATCGAGACCTTTCTGAGCCTCTTCCCACGAAAGTCCAGGACCTACGATAGCAGTCTGGTCTTCGGGATTGTAGATAACTTGATCAAGGTTCTTGGTCGAGATGAGAAGGCCATCTTGAATGCTGGCGAAGCCATTGTTCGGCATATGTCCGCCCGACTTCACGGCGAAGAGGTCGTCGAAATTGTGCAGTTGCTTCACAATCGCCGACATCTCCAGGGCGCTCGAAGGAGCAGCGATACATGTCGGCTTCAGGTCTCCACAGGCAGCAGACCAATATCTCGTCAGGTCCTTATTGTAGTCGAGACTCAGCGGCTTTTGAATCTCTATGCCCTGTTGCTTGATCACCGAGCAGATATCTGCAGCCGCAAGGCGAGCAAGAGCCACCGCGGTTATTGCTACAGCTGTGCGCCATGGCTGACCTAGGGTCATGATGGTGGATTATAGTCTTAAAACAACTTATAGAACACCAAACGCAACCTGGGATCTCTGGGAAAGCATCACGGCAGACATCGCAAATGATTCATTTATTTATACTCGTTGATGGAGAGACGAGCGTGGAGGGGGGCTCGTAGAAAGTACAAGGGAACTTCTATTCCGGAAAAGGGCTATGGAGACACATTCGTCCATCCATTTTCAGACAGCAATGCGAGAGGCCACCGGGTGGCCGGATAGACAAATGAACATCCTCGGCAACAAAGCAGGATCCACATCCTTGAAGGCTTTGGTGTTGAACTTCCTTGTTATAGCATTCTGCAGGTGATGGGACAAACCTCGTCCCTGATGGAGGTCTTGCAATCACAAGGCGAGCGCGTCATGTCTGCACGAAGACATTGCAGAATATGACCAATATGTAAGCGGACGCGAAATCACAGTGGACGCCAATCCCGCGGTAAGTTGATGTTTGCACCTTATCCGCACGGAGTATTAGAAGGACACTGAATCTAGCTTCGTGATCAACAGGGCAAAGCTTCAGTTGGGTCACAATGATTGAGTGGTCGGATCGCTTATTTGATTTACCCTAAGATCGGCCATGATAAGGACAATACCATGCAAGAACAAACGGAGGTTCCGCGAAGATCGTCAAGACACGGAATAGTGGTCATATTGAGAAACAGTTCGCTTGTTAATACGACCGGGATTCATCAAGGACGTGACCTCATCAAAGCAGCTTCCGTTACCAGATAGGGAATTATGCAGTTCAGCGTAAAGCAGGTTGCAATCCCAGTGATCAATGGCACACCATCGGAAGCCTGCAATGAATTTGTCATGTCGCCATGCAGAGAACTATTTTCGGAGTGATCAACAACTTGATGATTAGTACGACTCGGATGGCTTAAGCGAGTAAAGTGTGGAGAATTGCAGTAGCTTTCGGCCCAACGTCCAGCTTTCTCTCGACTCAACCCGTTTTGGGCAACGGGGAAATCGCGGGGAATTTCCATCCCTGCAAGGCCCGCCGCAGATGCCACGATGCCGTTGGACTGATAACGGTAGCTAGTAATAAGAAAACGCCATAAGGACACAGCGATAGATGGGGATAGACCATCCGGCGGCTTCGCTTAGGCCGTCGGGGAAACAATTGGCAAGCCTCTTAGAGCCTAGGCCATCGCGTTCCCTGTTTTGCGAAGAACCGAACCCCTTCTGTACCCTGACGCAAAATTGAGAAGTTGAATATTCAGCCAATAAAGTAGTCCTGTGGGTGGTGCACCATATTTGCATGGTCAACCGATGATTGAGCCTTCGCGTTACATCGAAGTCCCTTGCCTAAGATCGAACTGCAAAGAGCAAGATACACTACCACACTGTCGCTACCGGATTTGGCCCTCGTTGGAAAGTATGGCGCCTGATCGATTATTCAGCATAAGACCAGATTTGTTGTAAACAGTAGCCTCGTAGGTCGCGCAGGGCTCGACCTCTGGAAAAATCACATGTGCCTTGGCCTGGTAAATCGTCTGATAAAGATAGACATCCAAGCGGAACCGGCAGCGAATATCTCCGTAGCATATCCAGCGAGTTTCAAGTTCAGCGATGCCCGTTCACAAAGGTGCATCAACTGGAAAAGATGAAGTATTGGCTGGAACCAGACTTCGACCGCCAGGGCGGTGGGCTGAGAAATGCCGGCAGAATGCAACAAGTTTTCGATGGCGTCAAGCAAAGGATGGCCCCGACACTTCTTGAATCTCCAGGGGAGATTTCAGTTGTATAATGTGTTGATTCCTGGAGATGTCTTTGTTGATGCAAAAGACGTACATTTCCCGTGGGGCCATCGGGGCGAGCCATCTGCTGAAGCCAAACCGCCTTATAACTGGAACTAAACACCCAAGTCGCTTGGGGCGCATATCGAATTGTCCATGCCTCGCTCGCCGGACATTGGCTACGAATGTTGAGGTGAGTACTAACTGAGACTGAGTGATTGGCTTGCTCTGATAGAAATTCTGATAGTCTCCCACCGCTGGGCAAAATCCGCAACAGACTACTACCTCCATCGAGGATATCCTTTTAAAAACCGAGTTTGAGGAGAACAAAGACATTCGAAATTATCTACGCAAATGGCAGGAGACGCACCCGAACATCTTAGACCCGGTCCGAGGACCCGGGACGGCGAGCACATTAGATCCATCGGCCCCTTGGGTTGGAAACATGCTGAACGATAGCAAGGAGGCGTTTGATGCCGGTAGTGATGTTTTACGCGAGGCAGACGAGGAGAGCTTGGAATTTCACAATATCGGGGACGAAGGGGAGGGAGTAGATGAATTCCTCCAGCCAGGGGACTTGGTGGCTCTTTCTACGTAAGTAATGCAGAAGTTTCTCCTTCTCTAGTGCTTGGATTCACTAACTCGTGCTTTTCTCGAAGTGTCGACGGCATTTTAAGTTTTGCAATCTACGTGCGATCCGTTCATAAGCAGCAACAGTTCTATACAGAGCGAGGGAAATGGCGAATTGCTCACAGCAAAGATCTGGACTATGTCGTGAAGGGATTCGCTCCTCCAGAATTGGTCGCCCCCCTTCTGCCACATTTTCCGGACACAATGGCTCAAATGAGCTTTGAAATGCAGTCAGCCATTGAAGGTGGAGTGCCGAGACCTGTTGGTGCCCCCCTCTTGCAAAGGATCAGTGACTTCGAAGCAAAGATCCAAGATTTCTACCGAGACAATGCGCATATCCTTGATAACATGCATGAAATTGTCGCAGACGAGGAAGAGAAGCTAGAATACACCCTGGAAGAACTGGCATGTAAAGCCTTAGGCATAGAGGAGGAGGCCTTGGACGATACGATCTTATTTGCTGTGCATCAGACTATCCGCCGGAACTCATTCATTATTGAGAATGACCGAAGCTCGCTGTTCACAAATCATTACCTGGTGCAACCGAAACGAGTTGCAAGACTCCTCAATACTGTCACCAAATGGGTGCATGAACATCAGGAATACCTCGTCCGGTCTGCGACAGGCAGGGTAATAGGAGAGGAGAAGTCCAATATGAAGGACCATCCTCTGCAACAATTCCTGCAAAAAGCCCAGCGTCTCATACGGGTGAGTAGGAAAGTGCGGTCGCCGACGATCATGGCGAGCGTTGGTCCGACGGCACACCGGTTCGCACCAGGACAGGATGGGAAGCCCATGCTGTATCGCGAAATGGTCACCGAGAAGTTCAATGACAACGATCGAATGATCATAGAGTATCTGTTGCTCTGGTGCATACCTCCTAGGAGAATGAACTCTGGGCCATTGAGATCGGCTGGTTCCCACATCATGCGCGCTACTGGAATGTATACCACTCTCGAGCTGAACGCAGCGACCGTCAAGCTCTTCTTACAGGAATTAGGGGTGTTATCTCCTTGGGAAAATTTGCGATTACTTGACCAGAGTTTAGCTCTTCCTGGACACGGTATCTCGCCCAGGTCAGATGCTATGTGGGAGGATGTCAAGCAAGTGTGCGAGAAGCTCAAATCTGAAGGGCTATCGGATAAGATGGAGAGCCTGCGGACTGACTTTGGTAATCTGCCAGTCTACTGCGTGGACAATCCTGACGCGCAAGAGATCGACGATGGAGTGTCCTTGGAGTCTATTTCAAGCTCGAATGACACGTTCTGGATACACATACACATCGCCAATCCCTCCGCATTTGTCGAACCTGACAGCTCCATCATGGAATACGCCGCCATGCGTAATCAGACTCTCTATGTTCCCGAGCGCACATACCCGATGCTACCCAGCTCATTGACACAGAGCCATTTCAGTTTGGCTCCTGGTCGCCCTACACTCACATTCAGTGCCAAAATGAATTTGCAGGGTGAAGTTCTGGAAACAAAAATCGCCAATGGCATTGTCAGAAACGTAATTTATATCACGCACGAGAAGCTGCGTAGTCTTTTTGAACCCACCACTGGATCTTCAGATACTCTGACAGTGGGAGGCACCATTACGCAGCCGCACTCTCGGGAAGAGTTACAGAGCTCCTTAACACCGGAAGACGAGCGCGCTTTTCGTACCTTGCGTAAACTGATGTTGGCATTTCGTGAATACCGGCTCAAAAACGGGGCCATGGAGTGGCCGTCGCCTGCTGACAATTCAGTCTCTGTCTTCGCAGGGACAGCGCCCATGAAACCCTACAACATGGATATCTCCAAAGGCCGCTACTACTTGGGCGATCCAATCATCCAGTTGCGCTTGCAGGACATTGACCCCCACGAAGTACCTGACCTCACAAAGCGAAATCTCATTTCGACCTTGATGAATTTCGCATGTTGGATCTCTGGGAAGTGGTGCGCAGAGCGCAACATCCCAGCAGTCTACGACGGAACATGCTATCACCCCGAATACCCGAGACTAACGAACGAAAATATGGCCGAATACGGAGGAGAAGGATGGCTGCACTTCACAGCCCCGAAGGGTATCTCCTCATCGACCCCCATCCCACATATTCCCCTCGGCCTAGACGCCTATATCAAATCCACAAGTCCGCTTCGTCGATACGTCGATCTCCTCGCACACTACCAAATCGAAGCCGCGCTGCGCTTCGAGCACGAACACGGGCGGCCCCTAGACGCCACGAAGGATACCTCCGTTCTGCCCTTCTCCAAGGACTATGTCGACAAGTATATCTCCAGATCGCGTTGGAAACGCAACCGCATCAGGGACTGCGACTCCGCTTCCAAGCAGTTCTGGTCGTGCATGCTCCTCTTCCGCGCGTTCTACTTTGCTGAATGCGCGTTACCCGAGACGTTCCCATGCCTCCTCCACAAGCCATACAGCTGTACCTCCATGGCAGGAACGGAGTTCGGCGAAGGCTACGCGGGTGTCATCACGTCTCTAGGAGTCCGCTGCCAGATCCTTACCCACAACGTACCGGATGCCAACATCCTCAGCGTCGTGGAAGCTAAGATTACCTCGGTTGATTTGGCTCGCATGCTGGTCGTCATGGAGGCCACGCGAGTGGTCAAGCATTTCGAGCGGGTTGGTGAGTGGCGTTAGCTCTCCAGTTCTTCTCAAAGTCGGAACTATATTTCATAGAATTTTCTTTTGTGGATACCTCGCCTCTTTTGGACGATGCACGGCGTCAGGCTCGTTATAGAACTGTTGTTTATATGTATCATATAGCGATCTTGAAGCACATAGAGAGCTTCCGCTCCGAAACTCATTAAGAACATCTCCTACATCTGGTGCTTTGCATCTCTAAAGTTTCCCAATTACCTTCATATGATGTTACGGCATTGGGTTATGCTCCGATTATGTGCTGGCTTTCAGAGAACCATATGTACAAATTGCCAGTCGAAGCGACTATATACATACACCAGCAGTACCCTAAGAAGAGTACGTACTACCAATATCCCCCCACCTGATCTTCGAAAAAGTGACCGCCGTATTGGGATAGTTGGCCTGAATGAAAGCAGGATCCCCCTCGGTGCTACCGCATGGCCCGGCACCATCACTATCAAGCCAATGCATCCACAGGCCCGGATCATCCCAAATACTGAACACAGGCACCATGCCCCTCCTCAGCGCCTCGGCCATACGCTGCAATCCACCCAGCGCCTCGAACGTGCTCGACCACAAGCAGAAGGCTTCCGTCATCGCGACGGCCGTATTCCTGATGACCCTGCCATTCTGCACATACAGCCGGCGGATCTCGGCCAGTGCGCCTGTCGCTGTGTTATCGGCAGTCACGAACTGCGTGACGACGGTTATCGGCTTGGCAGTGTCGACGGTGAGGCCGTGGCCGTAGTAATCCTTTGCGCCGAGCTCGTAGGGGTTGTAGGTGCATCCGTACCCGTCGCAGATGGAGTAGCATTCGGCGCCGGTGCACGCATACAGCCCAGCGGTGTTGCACGGGTGCGGGGAGAAGATTGTGGAGCGGGAGTTGGCCTCCCAGAGGTCCATCTCCTGGCAGCAGGCGCCTGCGCCGGCGGTGTTGGCCTCGCCGTTGATCCAGGGGCCCGGGTTGAAGCACTGCGCGTCGCAGTAGCCTGTGCCGTAGGTTGCGCCGGCGGGGTTGAGGGCGCTGCGGCCGCCGGAGGCTTCCATCTCGGAGAGGTAGAGGGCGCCGTTCATGCCGCAGGGGAGCTTGGAGGCGTCGACGTCGAAGGTGAACTCTCGGTTGAGGAGCTGCAGCTTGCTGTAGTCGATGCCGTCCTCGGCGAGGAGGTACACGCGTGGCCTCAGCGTCGTGATTTGGCCGTTTTGTACTTGGTATTGACGGAGCGTAATGACGTCGCCTGAGGTCTGCACGCCGAAGCTGCTGTAGTCGGTGATGCCTTCGACTACGCAGTTCTGGCTGCAGGTCACCTTGTCCGGGCAGAGAGACGGGTCAAGGCCGCTGCTAGTGGCGCATGATGTTTGGGCTCCGTTTTGGTGTATCCAGTGTGCGTTGATGTCAAGCACAACTGAGGTGCTTTGTGCAACGCAGCCACCCTGAGAACTGCATCTGTATGTTGTGAGCTGCGGGTGGTTCTCAGCGATGGACCCGATCAGCTGCGCAGTCACAAGGGGAAGGAGTACCAGCGCGGTGGCTGCCAGTATTTGAGCCATTGTTGCAATTGCATCAAACAAGGATGACGTGCTCAGTCAGTGGACAAATCTTTCTCTGCTCGTAGGTACAGCCCGGAGTGTTATATACTGGCACTTCGAGGAAACATAGCACACCAGAAGAGTATTGACCCACGGTTTGTTCTTTGTTATATCCCCTTTGGATCCGGAATGTGCCTGGCCATGCTGCTGCGGGATAGAGATCCGAAATATGAAGGTATTGCATCATTCGCATGCTACTCCGGTTACTTCATGGGGTCCAATCCAGTATGGGATCAGCATAAAGATCGCACTTTAGAACGATGCAAAGGAGATCATGCTCAGCAATTAGAAGATTTGCTTGAAGGAGACGTCGTCCCCTGTTATCCTTGGCTCCCACAACCATTGGGGAAGAATCTAGGGAACGAGCGGAGTACCCGATTGAGCTGGTTTGTAAGCCTTATAGAGTGTGCCGTGAGAAATATTCTGCCCGATTAATAGCCTTGGATTCGAAGGTTGTCTCAAGGTTGCAAACCCATGCCCGACTCAGCAGGCGTCTTTCGCCAACTGGCAACAAGCCCGCTCGAGAAGTCGAACTACTCATTGATAGTCGTGCCATTCCAATACTGTTTTCAATTGAGGACGTGCGGATTATTTCCGTCCAAGTGCGCTCGATGTATGTTATTTTGTCAGATCCCATGTTTCACCTCAGACACTGCAAGCAATGAATCGGCGAATATCCACCCAAAGTTCCTTTCCATGATGGTGTGATAGGTGCACAATCTCAGATCACTCGAGACGATCGCAGTCAGGATTGTCCGACCATGGACATGGGCGAATTTACATATTTCGTTGAGCAGTTTATTATACAGGAATGGACGTACGATCTCGTGATTACAATCCGAAGACCTCCTTGACGAGTGTCTTCTTGTTTACTGTGAGCATCCATAGTTAGTTTGTAGACTCCAAATGATAAGCTCAAAACCACTCACCCTTTCCCATGGCATTTCTCGGAATTGGCCCGTCAAGGATCTTCATCTCTTGGGGCAGCTTGTAGCTCGCTAGCCGGTCTTTAAGGGCGCGCCGCATGTCCACAGGACCCCAGGGTTTGCCGTTACGGCCTGTCTTGGCTGCTACTTCGGGATTCAGGACGACTATCGCAGCAACCTTTTGACCCCATTGCTCGGATGGAAGACCAACAACGGCGGCTTCGATGATCTGAGGGCTGCACGAACAAGTTAGTCTGAATATACCGGCGAGTGGAATAGGTGAACGTACAGTGAGAGTAACTCTCTCTCGACTTCCAACGCGCTGACCTTCTCTCCACCCGTTTTGATGATGTCGACGCTCAGTCGACCCTGGATGAAATACATTGGGCCTCTGGCCCATTCACCGCTGATCCCCTTGCCGGCGTTCTTGACTATTCGGCGGGTAGCAACGTCGCCGGTTTTGAACCACTTTCCTTTCCCATCTTCGCTATCCACGAAGGCCTCTTTTGTGGCCTTCTCATTAGCCCAGTATTCGCGGAAGATCGTCGGTCCACGAAGCTGGATTTCACCTTCCCGCTCACGGCCGTTGGCATCGAGCTCCTCCCCAGGCTTGATGACTTCGTTCGTCTCAGTGTCGACCAGCCTAGCCTCCACAGACGGCAGCGGCCAGCCGACACTTCCATCCGCGCGGTCCGCGAAGTCGAGCCCGCAGCTGATGGCCATTCCGACCTCAGTCATGCCAAAGCGCTCGAGGAGCACGTTTCCATTGCTGAGATCCTGCCAGGCTTGCTTGGTCGGTGTCGGGAGAGCGGCGGAGCCAGAAATGTTTAGACGGAGATTCTCGGGCGAGATGCCCTTCTTCGCGGCTTCTTGAATTTCAGGACGTAGGCTAGGAAAGCTCGAAAGCAACCGGTTGTAGATGGTCGGTACAGCTGTAAGGAATGTAATCTTACTCTTAGTCGTGCTGTTTTGTAAAAATGGCGCTGCAAGCCTGTTCCACACGCCGTCTGTATTGAACGGAAACATGAATTCAATGGAAGATCCGGCAAGTATAGGCGTCACAATCGCATTGACAGTTCCATGGATGTGATGTAGTGGAAGAAGATGAAGCAATCGATCTTCAGGGGTATATTTCCACGCCTCTAATAGCGAAGCCGCTTGTGCGGTGAGTGCTGATTGGGGGATAAGCACGCCTTTCTGGTCGGAGGTCAGTCTGAAGATCTTCCAGCCTGTTGGAGACTAAATTGAAGGTAACGGAAAGGTCAATGCCTACCGGCCGGTTCGTGGTCCCAGAAGTATAAAGCATCATCCCTCCCAGCGATCTCTCCCCGTCGAGATCCTCCAAAGAGACCGGGTGCGAGCTAGTCGCACCCACCTGGATCTTCTCCTTGATATCCAGTACGGGCTCTGTATTCAACCCGGCCTTGAGCAGGTCGTGCGCCTTATCCGCGTACTTCTGAGTAGCGACCAACACCTTGGCCTGGGAGTTGTCGAGAATATACTTGAGTTCGCCGACAGGGAACGCAGGAGAGAGAGGGAGAGCAATCGCATTGCTTGCGAGGATAGAGAGGAGTGTTACTGCAGGTCAGGATCAGCCATGAAGCCAAGGTAGGGTAATCCATCCACGACACTCGTACAAGATCCGCCAGGGACAGAGTAGAGAAACAGTACCTACGTAATCGTAGCTATTCTCCGCAAGGAATGCAACCCTTTCCCCGGATAGCGAATTCTGCCTTCCTCCGACAGACCCTAGCAGGCGTTCTTTCGCCTGCAGCACGTCCGCGACCAAGTTACCGTACGTGAAGGATCGCGAAGATGCGCTATGGATGACGGCGAGGCTTGAGGAGTCATGATCTTTGAGTGCACGAAAGAGAGGAAGGTTCGGTAATGTTGACAATAAACGAAGCGAAGCTGGCGTAGTCACGCTCTGAACTCGGCTGTAAAACGGCTTGCGAGCACACGCTGCTCCGATGACCCGAACAGACGCAGAGCCACGACAAAGCAATGACACGAGATTACGTCCCTGCATGGTGGAATATTATCCGTAAGTGTGCCTCATGCACCTCCTCCTCTTGCGGTACCCAAACGATGCGTAGGTAATTGCGAGATATCAACTCTCAAGAGCAATTGCTGCGCGGTGGATTGATGTCATAAACGGAGGTGCTCCGGAGCTCTGCGGTTTGGCGTCTGAGCTGTCAATTACCAGTTAGCACACGTAACGCCAGAGACGATAATGCAGGCAACGAAAGACGAGTCCAAACATTAGAAAAGTTCAATTCCTAGAGAATCGATCCGAGAAACACTACAACAACGAAGGAGACGATTCCATCCAGACTCCACGTCCACGGACATAGCGGCGCAAACCATCATCCACAAACGCTATCCCCAAAACAGCATCTCGGCATCACAGGTCCAGACCCCAGCAGACTATACTGTATACAATCTACAACCTCAAACAAGACATCATCAATCTTCTACAAGAGACACCTCTCTACCCAACCCATCTTCACGCTTCAATCTCCCCAACTGGGGTGACCCGTCAATGCTCCCCCTCCGCAACGCACCAGGCCTGCTCTCCCGCCGCCTCTTCTCCCCACTCACAAGCACCCTCCTAACCAGAATGTCCTCCACCTCCACGACCCCGATGGAAGATACGATCCGCGAAAAGGTACGGTGCACATTGACAATCCTGCGCTCCTTGAGGATAATCATCCAGCTAACCCAACACTCGACATAGATAACAGCCGCCTTCTCCCCATCCACCCTCATAATCCGGAATGACTCGCACCTGCACGCGCACCACGCCCCGATGCAAGGCGTAACTTCGAAAGAGACGCATTTTCAGTATGTCTGCGACAGCGACCCGTTACATTGTTGCCAAAGAAGTAAGTGATGGCGGTGGCTAATGCGTACGTCTACAGTGTCACGATCACATCCTCTGCTTTCCAGTCGAAGATGCAGCCTGCGCGGCATCGGATGGTCTACTCTCTGCTTAAGGATGAGATGAGCCGGGAGGGCGGAATCCATGCTTTGCAGTTGCGGACGAGGACGCCGGAGGAGGAGGAGCGGGAGAAGGCTAGACAGTCCTAGGCGTAGGGCAGTGGTATGCTGTGGTCACACTGCCGGCTGACTGTCAGATATGAGAGGTCTGGTGACTCTACGGATATCATGGGTTGAATAAACCCAACTGGTGACTGTAAGGTTCTCTGTACATATCTATACTTTCGTAATGAATTAGAGTTCGATTATTACATAGATTCTAAGACCAACGGCAGTAAAAACGAGGAGAAAATCTAATATGTACATGTACGACAGCATCATGCGTATCCTAGTCGAGAGAAGCGACGGACCATCAAGTCGCATATCATCGGACACGAATCAGATATACACGACCCGGAGATACAAAAAGCGCAAGGGTGGAGCCAAGGTGATATGGAGAAGGAACTCGCAAGCTGCCGTGCTTTTTCAAAAACAAGGAGAAAAAATATCAGACAGGATTAAAACAGAGGAGAATGCGACTGAGTGGTATAAGAAAGTACACTAGGAAATCTCGAGGGAAAAAATGAACGGTCTTTGTGCAGCTCGGATGGATGAGTGAAGCGGGACAGGCATCGGATTATGATGCCACGCCGAATTTTCGCTTCCGCATTGCATGGACCATGTATAGCGAAAGGATAGTGCAGAGGGCGAGATAAGGGGATATCGAGAAGCCTGATGTAGCGACGCAGATTTCCGAGCGCGGAGTAGATCATAAGCAGCCGACAAACGTATTCTGCAAGCCGTTTGATGCAAGCATCTTTCAAGGATGGCCATTTTACGCTTTGTTGGCCTGGGTGACACCAACAGCGACACCGACAACGATGGCGATGATCAGAACTAGGGTAGCAGTAAGTTAGCTTGGTGCTTTTACACTTGAGGCCAAAGATGATACGTACTGACGATGAGCAGCGCATACCACTTCCACTTTCTGGCGTTGCGCGCGCTCTTGATGGCATGATCAATCTGGGTGTTCGCATTCTGGACATTGTCGACAACATCTTCGGCGCCTTGGTTGATCTGCTCAACAGCAGCATCTTGTTGATGCACCAGCTCTGCAACTTCCTGGTACAAACGGCCCAGCTCAATCATGTCCTGTTCGATCTTTCGAATAGCGGCGGACCGCTCCAAAGCAGCTTGTCTGGCGTCATTGGCCTGTCTGGTTCTGCTACCGGTAACCTATCACAAGCAAATCAGCACTTGTCCTAGATATTGGGGATGAGCCATTCTCTCGTACCTGGAAGCTCTGCTCTTGGCCCATCAGAACATTGTCAACACCCTGTTCGATCTCCTCGGGAGAAGCCTCTGGGTTTGCGATCTCGTATCGTCGGCGCACCTGCTCGCGCAACCGTTTCTGGAAATCCGACTGGGCCCTCTGGTACTGCTCAATCTCCCGACGCAAGTTCCGGCTGGTGACATCGATCTGAGTCTGAACACGGGTGTCTCCAGAGCCAGGTGTCTGCTTGACCTTTTTCAGGAGGTCCCGGAGGTAACGGAATCCGTTGTTGATCTCGTCTTCGATGTAATCGAGTGTCTGACGGGAGGCCTGATCTTCCTTTCCGGTACTCGAGTCGAGCAAAGCATTCTGTGCGGCGGCGAGCTGGCTCTCTCTCTTGGCTCGCAGATCGGCAATACCATCGTTGATTTCTTTGCATTTGTTCAGCAATGCGGTCGGGCCGGATGGCTGCTGCTGCTGGCCGCCGTAGCCACCCATAGCGGACATTTCTGTAGGAGACAACGCGCATTAGAGACATACGCTCGACCCGAGGTCATGAGGAGTCCTACCATAGCCACCATTACCCTGCTCCATGTTGTTGGCTTGCTGGTATGGGGCCTGGCCGCCGTAGGCATTGTTTTGCTGCTGGCCACCATAAGGGTTGTACTGGCCGTAGCCACCCTGAGAGTTGTTGTTGTAGTCCGCGTACTTTCAAAATAGCGAAGGAAGTCAGCATAAGAGTTTTGCGCTTGGGGCTTTCGCGCGGGAAAGGGGTAGCCATTCAGAACATACACTCATGATGTAATTATGTCAGAATTTACTATACGCAAGCACAGAGTTGAATAAAGAAGCTGCTTTTCCTCTCTTAAACCCGATATGGATGGTATTATGATCAGGTCGCTGTTCTTCGTCTCCTCTGGTGCAAGGGCGAGTGCGGTTCCGCAATTCAGGAGGTTGTCCAAATGCGCGAGGGACAAGAGCTTAACCCGAGTTCGCCGACTGTCACTAAAGCAGCGTACAGTAACGGAGCGAAAAGGAAGGATTAAAGAATGGTAAATGAGGATGACAAAAGAGAAGTGGGAGAGGTGAATATGTCGAAGGCAAAAAAAATGAACGATTGAAGGAAAGGGAAGAAATGACACAGTGAGACACGCGGCTGAGGCGGACAGTCGCGGGCGGAAAAGCAAGCAGAAGCGCTCTCCCAATTCCCAAAGGTGCTAAAGGGTTGGCTCTGAATTCCTTCGGAGCTGACAGTAGGCAAAGTTCTGGACCCGCAGGACGGCAATAATAGGTATTAAAGGAAGAAAAGTTTTGACGATCAGGCGCTTATGGGAACTACAGAAGCTCGATCGACAACTATTCATAGAAAACAGTGAAGAAGGTGGTTGAGAATGAGATTACTAGTGCTGCTGTGCTCGTTGACTTTCCCTCGTTCTTGAATATCGTTTGGGGGAATGTGGCTGATACTGGAAGCTAGCTTCGTGGCAACTACTTTTGATTTGTTTTGAAATTCGTTGATGGTGATGAATGATAATAATCATACAGGGGCTGCTGGATGATGCACAGACCACAGTGGATGATCGTCAAGTCCCCTTTTCTCCCTGGCTCACGGTTTGAGAGACCAAATCAATAGTTGTGAAACACCACGGTCGGAAGCTAGTGGTGATGGGTAGACAGGCCATGGTTTCACCTTTTGACGAGCTTGATAGAGAGGTCTACCTGGCAGCGCATATTTGTTTATTTACTTGAAGCTATTCAACTACCTAACCTCCGGTTCTCTTTCTCATCTTAGGGAATTATGGTTGCCTGCTTAGGCTTTGACCCTCTCGTTTACCTCCTCTCAGGCTGTGCAATATGCTGCTGACATTTCCCGCGTATCCGAGTATTACCTACCATTTCCGGCATGCCCACGGTGCGGGAGAGCCGGTTCGTTGGGATCCTTGATAATGGTACGGATTGCGCTTCAATTCCACCGAAAAGTATCGACTATGGAGGCGTTGAGTCTGCACGTCATCGTTATGCATACATTTGGTCAACAGCACCATCAGAGCCCCAGCAATTGTTTCCAGAAACCTGGCGACGCTGGTGGTTCCGCTTAATTATTACTTGGACAGATGCCTAAGGTAGGTCGTATCTGCCGACCAATAGCCCTTGCGTGTTCAATCGTTCGAGATCAAGGAAAATAAGCTATGAGATGGACCGATATTCTGGTGCAATTCATTTGGTGAGAATAGCCCGATCTATCCCCAGCATCCCACATCAGTCCCTTGCACCGTTGCACGCCGTTACTCCACAGCATCAAAACAATGCAAATATGGGGGTACAAAACATCAAAAAAAGTCCGTATTGCCAGTTCAATGATGTTTGGACTATCCGGGTTCTTCTCTCCTATCATTCCGCCAGATCATATGCAAGCTGCATGTCGTTTGTCGTGGCAAGTATTAGGCCCACCGATTGGCAGCATGTGGGCTCAGTCTCCAGAAACCACGTGATTTGTCTTGAATACTCGCGAATGAATGGCCATCGACTTATGATTCTGCCTGGGTCAGCTTATAATTAGGAACGATCGCCAGTTGCCAAAATGGCTTAGCACACAGCCTCAATGCTGTGGCTTGTATCCCAGCCTTGACTGGGCTGATCATATTCATGGTCCATTCCTAAATTATCAGACATGGAAACAATGGACTATATTGTTGTCTTTTTGAAACACAACCATTTTAATTTCTTCAATCCTGAAGCGCGTTGAAGACGTTATGGAAGTCGTTATCCAATGCCAA